GTCTGGATAGATGTTCGGATGAAAGATGTCACAGGTGAACTGCATTTTCGGCGGCGACAAGGGGTAGTCCTGAAACGAAAAACTGGTCAGTTTACCGGCTCAGCTAATGAAATTTTGGTGAAGTCGTACAATTCATACATTTAGTAGTAGCTACAAGTACTACTAAATGTCTTCGGTTCGTGAGGCTGAGTAAAGGATGGGAAAAACAACGAGAGGAAACAGCGAGGGGAATGCTGTGTTGAGAGAAGTGAGATTTTATGTTGCCAGACTGATGGAGCCTGGTTACAAAAGTACTGAAACATGATGCTCATACTATGTTCATAATCTTGTCGTAGAAGTTTTAAGAAACTGCAGAACGGTACCGCGGAATCTTATGCGGAACAGCTGTCAGTTTTTCTGGGAGATCCACTTAAACACCTAAAATGAGTGAGATGGATATGCCAGACTTACGACCGAGGAAAATGGAAACACTGTTCGTAAAACCACTGGGAAGGAGAAAAACGATGGAACAGAAGCCACTCACAGCAAATAACAATCATGTTCATGAAATTATCAGTTTCAGGCTTATTGAAAAAAACACCGTAGGACTTTCGCAACGAACGACGATGGATCACCTGGGGAAAGATGATTTTCGCTGGGAAGACGCCGTTCTCGAAGCACGTTTCATCGGGCCCCGTTATGAGGCATTCCCATTCAAAAAAATTGTCTTCACTGATCGGTCCCGCAATTATTCCTTCAGGCGGATTCAACGTCAGCTCTGTAACAACCCAATCACACTGAATTTTCCTAAATTCAGAAATTTGAAGAAAAAAAAAATCAAAAAAGCAGCCGAATTTGAAAAAAAAAAACACCAGAGACTAACATTACGAAATCGGAGACTAAAATCTGTAAAATGCTGAGAAAATGGGAGCTGCTTTGAACCACTGAACCAATGCTAATGGTCTGCGATTTTCAACAGACGGATCTCACTGGTTTCATTATCAATTGCTGCAAATATACACCACCCCATACGATGACGAGTTGAAACCTGAGCTATGTAGATGAGGATAAAGCAACCTGGGGACTCAGTAGTTTTTATGCGTTTTGTACTGTAAAACAGCAGTGCAAAACGCATATTGTCACGGGATTGTGTGTGTATTTGTGTGAATGTATGTGTGTGTGTGTGTGTGTGTGTGTGTGTGTGTGTGTGTGTGTGTCCGCAGCGGCTTATCAGCAACTTTCAACTCGGGAACCACAAAAGTTAGGAAGCTGAAAAATTAGGGGAACGTTCCCCACCCAAGTGTGACGCTGAAAATTTAAATTCAGCCTCCTCGTACCCGAGAGTAACACGTACGGCCCCGTAGAAGTTTCGATAGAGGCACGAAGACAGTACAAAGTCCGCAGCACATGACCAAGCCTGCAGTTTCCAAGATTTTCAGCATTTTAACTTTTGTAATTCTGCAATTAACTGGCCAGGAACGCAAATACACACATATGAATATGACTTCACTGAAATGGGTCCTCGATTTCCAAGAAAAGCATGAAAATGACCCGGAAAATCTAGTGGTTTTATGCTAACTGACAATTCTGGGCGTGAATTCGGCGTTTCTATTGCCTAATCGCTCTCTACTTATTGTCCTTATTCCACCCGTTGCCTGGAAGGAAGGGAAAAGGGGGAAGCTGGGCTATAAAAAATAACTAACGCTTATACTCGGCCATCAATCGCTTTAACGCATAACCAGCCATAACTCTCTCTATTCCTGAAAAAAGAACAATTGCTGGATATAACAAAACAGAGTACCACGCCCAAATGTATTGACAGACGTATGAAGTACTCGCTGTGAACAGAGCACATTCATATTAAAAATTCCTTAAGGTAAAAATTCTCTAAAATTCTTTAAGACTCGCATACGTATGGCTGCAACAAAAGGGCTAGTAAGGGAAGGCCTTACCTCACTCCTCCTCTGCTCCCCCCGCTTCCTTCTCTCCTTATTACTGTTTGTTTCCAGTCAAAACTGGTACAGTTTCAATTAGCGTAAGTCCACAGACTACCCCAAAACATCGGTAATTCCTAAAAACACCTCCTACAACAGCACCAATACACGACCTCTTCCATACACTCCAGCAGCCCATAAACCATAACAAACGCATCAGCAATTTACGAATCGACTGCATGCACCTACAACAATCCACAAACCAACCGTCAAAAGTAGAACCTAGGAACCACCCGATGCTCAAACTCGGGAACCGCGAATCGAACATGAAGTCATCCCAATTTTTCTTCCTGCTTAAGATCCCTCCTGCGATGTATCAGGAAATACCAAGACTGCTCGGGCTATTAGTGTGGGTATCCTTCACTCGGAAAACAGATGATGTAATTCGTGTAAAAACAACATTGACGACTGTCAGTGCACAGGATGATTTTGATAACAAATTTATTGTTATCATAAAATTATCATTAAAACGACTAAATTATTATCGCACTACTAGAAGCATTATCAAAAAACACAGAAAAAAAAACATCACCGCCACTGGCACAAAGTACATGCACGCACAG